TAAGTCAACTCTAAGGGGTTGACTAAGGGCTGTGACACACCAAGCCAATGGTTGGCCATCTGTTGGGTATGTCCCACACCGTTGGCACTAGTCAGACCCCGTTACCGGCTTTTCAGCTGATTCGGCATGTTGAATCAGCTTCCGGCCTCGTCGATGAGATATACCACTCTGATTGGTTTGGGAAAGCCCCTTTAACCTGTTGCTGTAGTATTCATGATTTCACGCATCTAGTGAAGTTCCTCCTTCTTCTTTCTTTTTTTTTTTTTTTTTTTTTTTTTTTTTTTTTCCCTTGTGGCCTTTTTTCAAAAGACCAAAGGCTGAGATCAGCAGTGCCATTTGCAACTTCTTATCAAACATTATCAATTAGAATCGGGTATAAACAGTTTCTATGTTGAACAAGAGCTGATTTGTTTGCAGTTTATATTTGCACAGTCCAGCTCTTATTCTTTCCCTTTCTAAATGGCAAAAACAGACACTGCCATCTGCTGGTAGGAGGAGATATTTCTCTCTTGCAGGTGCAGAATGCACATGCTAGTTGACCGTTGTCTGTAGTGTGTGTTCAAGTGCCACTTTTTCAACCCGACTGGCCCAGACAAAGGTGACGTGAGGCAATGCTGCAGTCGGCTTTCGTCACTGCTAGTTCTTTCATGTCAGCTTGGTGTGTCTTTGCCTTAAGGAACTTTAAAGTATAGGCTCTGGATTTTTCAAATAGTTCTTAAAACAATACTGATGCAGCCATATGTATGTAGGAATAGGCTTTGGTTCTTAATAGACACTTGTTTCTTTGTTTTTTTCAGGAGAGGGTACAAATTAACCAGATTCTTTCAAATGCTCTGGAGTGGGGTGTGAAAATTTTCTACATAAACGGTATGTTGTAGATGATTGGTTTGTGTTACAGCCATTATTTATATTATTTGAATGTGTGCTGTGCATGAAATAGCAGCTATTTTTGCTCTGACTTAATGCTGTTTTATGTTTTGTGGCATTTGCAGATGTAATGGCATATGTTCAGAAAAAAAAAAAGATTGCTAGAAGCCAGTGTTCTGCTACCACCGCTGTCAAAGCAAGTATAGGTTCACAGGTTTAAAATTCTTAAATGCATTTTTTGTAAAAAGTGGATAATACTTCAAGGACTTATTTTCAAAATCATTGGTAAATTTTGTTTTTAATGACTTTTTTTTATTTTTTTCTTAGGTCAAAACAGAACCAGCAGCAAAGCACAGCTCTCAGAAATTCAAAGGTGAGTGTCTCATCGAGGACTAAACATGTTTATGAGCTGATGTACAGTAACAGTCGATGTCTGGATACACCTTCCTATCAAAAGAGAAAGTGTGTCCAAATTTTGACTCGTATTGTAGTTGTTACCCAGCCAGTCTTTTATTTCTAGCTTGGAATGCTGTGTATTATTCTTGATGCTTTGTAAATACACATTCAAATGTTTATTCCAGGGGTGAGGATCAGCAAACCCTTTGTCAAGGTTGAGGATTCAAGCAGGTAAGAGACAGAAGGTTAAAAGTTGATGTCCACCTACTGTCTTTGACATGTGTATACCTGTGGACTATTATCAGGTTCTTGTCCCCCTCACAGACAGTACCGTCCAATCTACCTTAATATGCCAAACATGCCTGAGTTCAACTTGAAGACTGTTCCTCCCTTTACTCCCTTTTGTGTCGATGACAAGGATCCTTCAGGGAACAAACGGCGAGGATACAGGTAGTGTGTTGCTTCATGTCTGCACTGGCTTCAGTGAACTTACAAACATATAGACAGTACAGTATGTCACACTTTTTACAACACTACAAATTCTCCTTTATTATTATCTTTAACCACTTGAGCCTTCATATATCACTTAAATATTCCCCTAAGAAGTCTGCCTGTGTCTGTCTCTTTTAATGTGTTTGTTGATGTTCTGTCTGTAATTCTTAGTTTTGTTTGGTGAAACCAGACAATTTTCATCTTAATAAAATGTCTAACTATAACACATAAATGAGTAACTTATAATTAAATAGCAAACTAACCACTAAAACATTGTTTTATACAAATTTCCCCTGATTCAGGATGAAGCATTTGATATCATTTCAAATAGAATTTAAAGTTTTGTAGATTTGAAAAGAACATTTTCCAAACAGTAGGTGAATCCCAATTCCCTTATTTTATCGTTCCCTGATCCTTGCTTGACCTGGAAATTGTTCTGGTCTGCCATGATGAAGGACCTCCCAAAGCTTTTATTTCTGCTCTGAGGAGTGAGGAGGCTAGTTGGAGGAGCTATAGCCGAGGACACGAGTGAATCCTTCATGGAAATCTGTTGTGGACTGACACCTCCCTTTGTCAAAAATCACTTTGTGATTGGACACTTCACATGAAGGCTCAAGGAAAGGACATCTCATGTCAGTTAAAATGTGTTTCCTAGGTTCCTGTCTCCTCACACTTTCTCCTTTCATCTTTTCCTTGCATCTTATGTGGGCAGGACACAGATGCAAGGAAAGTCTTGTGAAAAGTGAGGGAATAGTTGATGCAGTTAAGGGAAGTGGGATTCACCTCATAAGTTGGTACTGCTGGAGCCATTCAAAAGTCCAGGGGTACCTTATCAAGACTAAATGAAAATGTATTCAAAAATTCTTTTCATCTTGGTTTGATTGTATTTGTTGAACCTCTGGGCTCCTTGGGGAACAGAGATGTGAAAGGTTCAGCCAGTGAGGAGAGAGCACATGGTAGGAAGAGGAACAGAGACAGGGAACGAAGCGGCTACTGCGAGTGCTGTATGATCAAATATGAAAATCTGACCATGGTAAGTCAGTATTTCTTTTTTAAATATTTATATACTGTACCATTGTTACAATACAGTAATTTATGGTTAACACACATCTACCAGCATTTGAATAATAAGATTTATATGATTCAGATATACATTCCAAATTTATTTTGAAAGGCTAGACAGGAGGCCTTTTTTAGATTAAGTGCAGTTTGAATCCAGTTGGTGGGACTGTTTTATTTAATTGTTTCAACATATAAATGGCCAAACAAATAAATCTTGAAAAATGACTAGGTTAACCTCAGGTCTGCTCTGTTAGGCCCATAAGCAGTTTGCCTTTATTCACTGTGAGCAGTTGATAATGTGCCCTTCTTTTTGTATTTAGTTGCTTGTACAATAGGACAAATTGTGTGCCCAGTAATCTTCACTGTCAGCATTTTAACTTGGTCATTTTTGTTCAGCATCTGAAGAGTGAGCGTCACAAGGTGTTCTCCAAAAGTGATAATTACTTTGTAGTGGACAGACTGGTTTCAACTCTGCCGTGCAGCTTTGTGCACATCAAAACTGCAGTTAAAAGGTAATTTTTTTTCCCCATTTGTTTAAAACGTTCATCATCATATGTTCATGAGTAAATATGCATCTACACTGCCAGTCAGAAGTTGGGCTCACTTTCCCAGTCAATTCAGTGGGAATATGTGTTGAAAGCTTTGACTGGCAGTGTAAATGTGATCTGTCATCACAGTATGTTATTGACACATCCTGATCTTTAATCTTTCTACTTCACTGTACCCATCAAAAGTTTTCCTTTGATTCCTGTTAGACCAAAGTGCAGCGTTTCTTCTGTTGTCGTTGCTACTGGACCATGTGGGAAAACCAAGCCCAGGCACAAGAGAGATCTTGATACCACAGAGACTCTTGAACAGGAGCTGCAATGGGCTGTTGATCGGCATCAAGGCAATTATTCAGGACACACTTCAGCTCCTTGTTCTATGCTGCTTATTCACAGAGAGGGTGATTGGAAGAGCTCTTACTCGGACACATCCAAAAACAAATCTCTTGTGTGTAAACGGCTGTGCAGACAGAATTCCTTGACTTCTAGCTCTCTAAAAGCTGAGCAGGCTCAAATTCCTCAGCTGAAGAAAGAAACGGCCCCCTCTAAAGGTGAATGTCTTGGCTCTGTTCCTTCCAGGGTTACTCAGGTCGACGCAGAGGACCAAATATCTCACAAAGACACGAAAGGCTCAGCCATACTTTTTGGTAATATGAATGGTGTTTCCTCAAAAGAAGAGGATAAAAACAAGGATTTGTTACTGTTTGAAGCTGATCAGGATAGAAACGTATTCCCAGAGAAGAATACTGGAAACAATCGCTCAGAAAATGAAGAGGGAAGCTTTCCAGCACAAAGCTTTTCTCCGGTTCAGAAAATACGGAGGAAGGTCAAGGTTTATAAACGCATAAGGCGGAAAGTGGACACACACTTTATGCATGTAAAGCCAAGTGACGATCTGGATTCCTCCATATTGAAGCTCTGGGAGCTTTTCCAGTCTAGTGATGAGGACATGGAGTTTCATGGGTTTGATAACTAGGAATAGACAAATGAACTGAAGGGATTATCTGCACTATTTCCTGTTCCAGTACTAGAAACATTCTACTTCGTGTTACGAACAATACAAACCAACAGAAGGCAGAATGAGCTACACAGGCTTGTTTTGGTCAGGAGAGACTAATGCAAAGAGGGGGAAACCTCTTTATTTTATCTTGTAAAAGGCAACTGCTGATGTGCTGCAGCATTTTGTTTACAACATAGTGTAATATATGAGGTACAACATCACCTCAGCATTATAGTTTACAGTGGATCTAACATTTTTACTTTATCAAATTTTTGCAGCATGCTATGTGCCAAATGTCATATAGATTCCAAACACAACACAGACTGCCAGTGTGAACTGGAAATTGAAGAAATGCACAGCTAAAATATTCCCACGATTAAAATTTTATCTAAAATGTAGGAAATTAAGTGACAGTGAAATACCATATTTATACCATATTCTCAGTCTCAAAACAAGAACATTTCAGCGGCTCTTCTTATGTTTTATCTAAACCTCCTAAGTGGGAAATAAATAATATAAAGTTTTTTAACTTGATTCACTTTATCAGTTTACTTTATGAAAAGAGTAGGTTATTAAACATTTCACTGTAGACTGATATATCCACTATTTAACCTGAGCAAAATGCCACCTATGTTTATGTGTGACCTTTGTTTTACATGTTGCTGTACAGAGGAATTACTAAACCTACTTCTAAAAAGTGTGTGCAAATTCAGTGTTGACACCTTTTTAGAGCAACTAGAAAATCTTATTTAATATTTGTGTATAAATGAATTTTACTACATGCAGTGTTTCCCCTTGATACTGAATGTCAATATACAGGAGTGTCAGAGGGACAATGAGCTTAAATGATAATCTTTTACATTGAAGAAATAGGACTTGGATCTTCTCCAACATGGGAAGTGATTTTATGTTTTATTTATTTAAGTGTTGATGTGCTTTAGTTTGGATGTGTAACATTTTAGGATATCTCCTATCTGCACTTCTCATTACTTTTTCTGATGCATTATCTCAGCTTCTCCCTTTTCCCTGCATTTAGTGCATTAGCATAGTGCCCTTGTTCTCTTTCACTGCTGTCGGTGGATGCTCAGTCAAATGGAAGTCTTTGTGCCACTGACATTAAGGAGAAACATGAGGAACAAGCGGAGTGGTTCTGCAAATCTAACAATTAATGCAGACATTATTGGCAGGTTACAAATTATAGCCTGCTCCCACTGGGCTTTCTGATTAACTGTACCTGCCTCGTGCGCACGGTTGTATACCTGCCATTCCTTAAACTAAGAACATGCATGTTAAAGATTCGTGTTATGTTTACTATCCTTCCTTGCGGTTACATTAAGATAAGTTTGAACAAACTTAAAATAAAAAACTAGCGTGGCTGTTTCCGGTCTGTGATAAACATCAACCTGTTCTAACGTTCAGACTTGATGTAACAGCGTGCCAGATTGTTCTTGTCCCAGAGCCATTGAGTAAACTAGTATGGCTTGGGGTTCTCATCAGTTGATTAGCCCTAGAAGGTTTGCTGGGAGGTTCTGGGACACAGCAGGTTAAGCATCTGGTGTATAGATGCTGCTCTGCTCTTCAAGAGGACAAAGGAACAAATTGTACAAGAAAGAAAATGAATGAGATGCATTTTGATGTTAAGGGGGAGCATCTCACCTAAATATTTTATTTCATCATTTTCTCAACCTGCAGCACTGTTATTTTGGCAAAACTGGATAATAATAATAGTCTTAAGAGGTGTTGTTGCAGACCCAATAATGGGAAAAGTAATTTTACAAAAAAATCATCCACAGAACAATACACAGACACAGTTCCAAGAATGGGCAGGACATCCTCGTGTTGTGATGGCTTGGCTTTTGGAGCTCTGGCAGATGGAGTGAGTCATGTTGATGATACTGGGCAGGAATGGCGCTTCTGCAGTGAGTTAAAGTAAAAGAGACGGGCTTTAATATCGTCCCAGTCGGTGGAAGGCCGTGCCCGCAGCTTCCCTCCTGTCTCTGCTCATATTTATGCATTAGGCGTTTCTGCAGTGAGCCGCTGGATATTGATGTGCTTAAGGAGGTGTCCCCAGCCGTCTCCGTCTCCACCCCTCCATCTTTTGCCGAAGGCACAC